TAGCGAAGGACTCGCTAGGCGAACCATTCTGCTCGCCTAGCGAGCATGTCAGCACAGCATTTTTTTTCTATTCCCATCCAATATCGATTCTTCGACTCAGATGTTGATCAACCTTCTCCCGAAACGTGTAGCTTGTGTGCTGTTATATGATATGTTGTGGATAGCCGTATGGCGTGAATCCTAGATTGTGGAATTTATTGTGAATTGTGGCCTTTTGGAAAATAAAAGCATTGTTTAAATTAAATTTAAATGCATGATAATTGTGATAGAGTTCGTTGTCGTTTAGGTGGTAAAGCGATGTTGTTACCGTTTGGCATAATTGATGTGAATGTGTATAGATTGTACGTGATAGTATGAGATGAATGCATGAATATATTGTAAATATGTATGCATTTCAAGAGTGTCTTGAGTCATTTTGTATGTGAAGCATAATGATGTACATTCTTGTGTTGTGTGATTCTAATGAGAATTTGTTGTAACGTTGTGTGCCTATGTGAGGTGTGAGCTATGATTACAAACGATTGTGTGCCTATGTGAGGTGTGAGCAATCGGATTGTGTGCCTAGGTGATGTGTGAGCAATCCATAAACATTGTGTGCCTATGTGAGGTGTGAGCAATGGGTGAACATCGTAGGCCTGACGGGGAGTTACATTGGTAACGAGCGATGGTTCCAATAAGTTCATGAGTGAAATTGAGATGATTGAGTTGGTACCGCATTGCATTTGCATATATCATCTTTATAATTGTGCATTGGTGAATAAACATAAATGTGTATGTTTATGTGGAATGATAAGAATTGTGAAAGTATGCATGATGAATATGCTTGGTTATATATATATATATATATATATATATATATATATATATATATATATATATATATATATATATATATTTATATATATATATATATATATATATATATATATATATATATATATATATATATATATATATATATATATATATATATATATATATATATATATATATATATATATATATATATATATATATATATATATATATATATATATATATATATATATATATATATATATATATATATATATATATATATATATATATATATATATATATATATATATATATTGTGATATATATGAGTGAGTTGTGATGAATTGTGGTGAGAATGTAGAATATGTGTATTTTATGCTAATATATATATATATATATATATATATATATATATATATATATATATATATATATATATATATATATATATATATATATATATATATATATATATATATATATATATATATATATATATATATATATATATATATATATATATATATATATATATATATATATATATATATATATATATATATATATATATATATATATATATATATAATATTATATGCATTGTTGTTATGATGATTTTCTCACCCTTGTGCTGTTTTATGATGCTCTATGAGGCATTGCAGAGTAGGTATGCTGGAGGTCTTTTTGTGAAGCGTGTCTTCATTCTTTTGGTCGGTCGTTTCTGATATGTAGCATCGGGTAGCTAGGATGTACATGATTCTTTTGTGATACATTTGTATATGTATCTTGTTGATGAATGTTTATATAAACATGAGTTATGTTGTTGAATCATACTGGATGATATATATATATATATGTCTGATGTTATTCAATGTTTAAATTTTTCGCTTTTATTCTAAATATTGAGATGTGGGTGTAAGGACTAAGTTCCTCTGTTGCAAAGTTACCCCACTGTTGCATATCTATTATTGAGCAGGTGTTGAATGTTTTAATTTCTTGCGTAATGTTACTCTCCCCTTTTATACTATGTTTATAATTATACTCTGACGAAATTTTTAATATGTGACTAATTGTTTATGTGATTATTTGGGGGTATAGAAAGGGGGTGTTACAATAACCAACCCCCGAACCCTAGATCTCTCCGCATTGTGTTTACGATGAAATTTAGGTTTTTCTTTCTTTAACCTTTCCTTTGAATAAATCAAAGACCGAATGTGAATTCAAGATTTGTGATTCAAAATAATCAATAATTTGATATCATATTCTCACAGCAACAGACTTATTCCGCTGTGATAAGCCTATGTAAAGATGAGCATTGATGACTGGTGTTTAAATTATTGCATGTTTTATCTAAATCATGTTATAGAGCAGGTTTATGTTGTGTTTGAGTGACACTATATGTGTGTAGTTGTTTTATATTTGTATTATTTCGCGTTGGGGTTGTTAGGGTGTTACAACAATAGACTCATAAATTGCATCAAAATTTTATTTCTTTCTGAAAAGTTGTTTGTATGATTCTTTATGAGTCCTCAACTCAAGGATAAGTTGATGGCAGACAAGTGTGTGATTATCTTCTCCTTTTTCAAGTAAAGTCGAAAAAGTTCGATAATCGCAATGTATGTCACCTTCAACATCGATGATCTGTATTTGTGCATAAAAACTGACATCTCGTCAATGAATAAAATTTTTGGTTGAGGCAGTGAAGGAGGTGGTTTGCAAATGTGGGCTCCTTTAAAAACACTTTTTGATATTTTAGAGTTGGCGAGTCCAGAAAAACTTTGTCAATGTGTTCAAAATACGAAGGAGACTGCACCGTTAAATTGTCACTCAATGTAGGCTTGACCTTTTTCGAAGCACCTTTTGTTTTTACTGGTTGAGATGTGCTTTCAAGTCAATGGTTTTCAAATAAGCAATATTCCTCAATTTCTCTTTGATGTGGAGTTTCATATTATCATCGGCTTTCAAAAATCTCTCTTGTATCACTTCCTATTCGGTCAAGATAGAGATATTTGATTTATCGTCTCTCATGATACCATCATCATCAAACCTAAGCTTTTCCGGTCACTGCAAATTTCATTCATTCTTAACGGGATACTATGTTTCACCTTTTTTGCTATAAGAAAAGCACATGGGAGATCATAGGTTTTCATAATTATGCAACCACACTTTGCGCTATCGGAACCTACATTATCGTTTCGTTTAGCTTCATAAAAAATATAAATCTGAGATATATCACGATTGATAACAATTACTTTCAGCATCTCTTCTTAGTCCTTCAACTTTGTCCGACACACCTTTAAGGCCCAAGTAACATTCTCCTCTTTTTCGCTCTCTAGAAATGCAAACCCAACAGAATAGGTCTTCTCAGTAGAGGTAACACCAACCATCTCCAATAAAGGAATGTCTGTACTTGTTGGTCTTGTATGTTGAATCAATGATGAGCACGGTAGAAAACGTGTTGAACAACTTGATGGAATGAGTTTGAGTCCAAAATTTATCTCTAACGGTTACTCCATCCTCGTGCGTTCGATACCTAAAAATATAATTGTTATCATCCAAAAGGTTCAATAGTTGTTGCATTTCACTTCTATCCCCCCTTAGTGTCTTGTTATTTTGGTACCGAATATTGTACACTTGGTTAATATTTAAGATATTCTCGGGTCTTTTACGTTTCAAAGTTGCAACTATGTTTTTCGGTTGAACCAAATTCAATGTCATGTTTGAAACACATTATTTATCTTTCGGGATTAGGCGACACGCAATTGAATGACCGGCTAACTTTTTACACGAGTCATGTTTATGTAAACCACATATGACATTAAATCTCCATTTCTTATTTGCCAACATATAATCGCGCAACTTAAAGGGATGCTCATATTTTCTTGAACTGGTGTCATCTCGTTTAAAATTTTGGAAAAGAGGTCTATATATTTCCCACTTCTTTCGCATGTCATTGTCGCAAATGCACCTCTTCTATCTGAACCATTATCGGACTTTCCGATTACCACACCAAATTCCAATTTGTAGGCCTCCGTGCAAATTCATTGAAACATATGATCACGAAATTTAAACTCTTGTTCATTTTTGAATTGGTTGTCAACATCTACCTCCTTGACAACAACACATTTGACATCTGAAGACAACATTATCTAATGAAAACAGTTACAATAAAACACTCAAAAAGTGTTCATAATGTAAAAAGAGCTGAAAAATGATAACAGATAGCCTATGGAGATGCATCTCTGGACGAATTCATATAGAATCTGGAGATGTATCTCCGGATAAAACAAACGTTTTTTAAACTACAAACTTAATGTGAACAAAGAGATTTTATATAAATGATCTTTATTTGAAGTTACAGTTTTTTTATGAAACAGAAGAACAAAAATTTAAAATGAAAATATTGATCGAAAATGGAAAAAAAAATTTGAAAAGACATCAAGGGAAAAACAAATATGGATCTATGTTCACGTATGGGAGTGTTTTTTACCAACTTCTTCCAATAATGCTTCTTCAAAAACATTTTTTTGATTGAATCTGTAGTGACACTCATTTTGTATGCCATAAAATGGTGTTTTTTACCAACTTCTTCCAATAATGCAACTTCAAAAACATCTCTTTTGATTGAATCTGTAGTGACACTCATTTTGTATGCCATAAAATGATGTTTAATGTATCTAAAGATATATCTCCAAAATCTAATGGACATTTTCATTTCATAAAATAGAATTGAATAAGAAATTCCCAAATATCAATTTGTTTTCCTTGGACATAGGCCCTCCTTCAACTCAAAAAAAATATATCAATTTGTACTTATAAAAATAACTGAAATTTGTCTGCTGGTGAAGATTGTTTTACGGATAATTATAAGACCATAACCAAAAAGATTGCAGAAGTATTATTTTACAGTGTATAATAGAAATCAATGTAGTGAAACAGCAACTTTCTTCATCAGTAATTTATTTCAACGTAAACAACGACAACCGAACAGATCTGTGAACATCATTTATGAACTCGTTTCTAATATATCATGAAGCAACATTCCTCATTCGTAAAATCAAAAACTTACTACTACAAAGTGATCATACAAAACTTCCATACCAAAGCTTAACCATTTTAAAACTCACTTAACACAATAGCTGCTAGTCTATGGGATTTCTGATAGGGAATCAACTCAAGAAAAGCCATAATTCATTCACATTCTAGTTACTAGACTGGCGCAATTCAGGACGGACAAAGTCTGCATCTGCCGGCACTGAAATGTCTAATGTGGGTCTTAGCTCAGCACAAACTTGAATGGCTCCGTGCACTGGGTCTGACACGAAGTTGCTGATCAGGTCCTGGTTGATGGGAGCTCCACTGTCCACTGCCACCAAGGCCTGCTGAGTTAGAATGTAATCAAATCTGGGAGCCCATTTCCTTGAACCCAACCTTGCTGTGGTTGAGCAGTTGTCAACCATGAAAGAAACACCGCGAGCATGCATGAATGGATTCAAAGAATCAACAGACTCAATCACACTCTCATTAATGATTTCAGAGTAAGAATGCCCCTTCTTCCTCAAGACCTCAATCTGGAAATTTTGTTACAAAAAATTCAAAAAAAAGTCAGTTTCATTGTGTCAAATCAACCACAAAATGATAAACAAGAAAAATGAATACAAAGATTAAAGCTTACCAAAACATGACAATAAAATAAAGACTACTTGATGCAGGAAAGATTTGAATCAAGAAAAATGAATACAAAGATTAAAGCTTACCAAAACATGACAATAAAATAAAGACTAGTTGATGCAGGAAATATTTCAATCAATATACAACTACCAATATACGAGTAAAAAAATTGATAATAAACTAAGAAACAAACCTGGGCCATCATCAATGCCACAAAGACACCGGCGGTAAATGGATATAGAGGGCCTAGATCACCTGCCGGCCTTGTAGATCGAACGCGTTCACCAACCTTCCACATCCGGGTCTGATCAATTTTACCCATGGGAAATGCAGGCAGACCCTCTTTCTCCTGTAAAACACAGGAATAATTTTAAGTTCTCCATATAAAGGCCAACTATAAATGGGAAATAAATATGAACTTACGTAAAATCGACGACCAGCCAAAACAACACTGCGAATCTCACTACCGCTGGCTACATCCTCATAGCACTCATACAAAATTTCCATGCAGGGATAATAAGAAGCACTGTATGCTTTTTCAAATTCCTTCTTTCCATCTTCAGATAAAGCATTGTATACAGCCAACATGCCCTATTCAACCAAAAAGAAAAATGCTTACTTCACAACTCACAAGCCCACATTCACATTGTAAGGGGGAAAAATCAAAAAGATAAGAATTTAGTAAGACATAAGTATGAGATCGCAACCTGAGTTGAGATGGTTTTAGATATTACTCCTGTTATGGACTCAACGGTGTTCTTATAAGCCAGATCCTCACTCATACCATTCTCAGTGTACCTTCTAAACAAGGACTCAACAATTCCATGAACAGCACCCAGTAAAATTCCTGTAAGCCATAAAAGCAAACTTGGGTAAGGCAAAAAGTCTTCAAAGGAGAATATCAAGGCACTTTAAAAAGCAAATTCATACCTCTCTCTCCAAAAATGTCACTCTTGTATTCTTGCTCTAATGTAGTGGCAAATGTGAAAGGAGAACCAAGGGCAACAGACCACCCCAAAGCAACATCAGTAGCCCTGCCATCCACATCCTGCATCCAATGATATTATGCTTAGTCTCACAATAAATTAACTATTAAATCATCAAATAAAATAGTACGGGCAAGGGCACGTTGATGAGAGGTTTACCTGGTGGACTCCAAAACTTGAATTAATTCCAGCACCGTTTATCTCTTTGCCTTGTACATACAGCCTCCTTACAGATGGACCCATCCCCTTTGGACACACAGCAATTACACTGAAGTTTTTGGGAAAATCAAGTCCAATTGACTGCAAGTGCCCAAGAAGAAAACCGTGGGACAGCCCAAGTATACTGTTTGGCTTCATGTGGGAAAATATTTTCTCATAATTATCTGCCTGTGTTAAAGAAAAAAATTTAAAGTTATTGGTAGGGGCCTTTTGTGAAAACTGAGAAGATACTCAAATGTTAGAAAACTGCCAAAATCACATAAGCATGGAGACTTACAAAGCCAAATCAAATTGTTCCCATGGAAAATTTAAGACGAAATGCAAAATTCAAGTTTTCAAAAGGAAGGAAATATTATGATCCTTATTGTGGAAGAAAAGGATCAGCAACCAAAAAACATCCATTCAAACTGACACAACAAAGTACTACATCTTTCTTTGATTTATTCATCAACATTATTTTTATGGTCTATCAATATGTTATATATGTTATATACTGATTACTGCGTAATAACTGACCTACGTGAGCATACTTGGGGAAGGAAAACAAAATAAAATGACTGGAAGGATAATCAACAACAATATTAAAAAACAGCAACAGGAAGTGAACAAACAAGTCCAGAGATTTCTGAAGCATTGACATATACTAACCTGTGCAGAATCAGAAATTAACAGCAATACAAGATCACTGCCCGATATAGTTTCCCATATGTCACCTAGAGTTCCCTTCTCCTCACTAAATCCAGCCTCCCGAGCCTCATTAAAGGAACTAGAACCTTTCCTGAGTCCGACCTGTAACGTTAATAGACAAGTGTGTTATTCTAGCAGGATTTTGAAAAAAAAGATCTAGTAATCAGATGTTCTTAACTAGTACAATTATTTACAGCTTACAAGCATATATCAATAATCAATACAAGATAATGAATCAAAACAAAAAATATGCAGAATCACCTTAACCACGATGTCAGACTTTGCTTCAACAAGCGAGTCACGTAGATTCTGTGCCTGAGCAGGTCCCTGATGAATATAGCACAAAATTAGCAATTGTATTAAAATTATGGACTTTGCCAGTACCAGAATATTCCTTCTAAAATAATATATTCAAACATAAAAAGTATCTAGCATATCACTTTCTATCGTACAATAAAGTATTCCACAAAAATGGTTATAAAGTAGCTTCCAACCGCAACAAAATTAGGTTGAGATTAACAAAAAAAATTACCTGTGAACCCCATCCAATGACACCAATCTGCTTAATCCCCTTGAAAGCATCAGGCAACAAATGAAACAAATCTCTTCCTCCTCTCACGATGTACTGCAACAAATCAACCAAAAAAATCATTAATTTATAAAATAAAAAATAGTCAATTTCTGAGAATAGAGTTAAAATTTTGAAGAAATTCGAACCTCTTCGTGTCCGGCGAGGTTAACTCTCTCCTTCTTGAAGACAGAAGTCTCAAAATCGAGCGAAACCGGAAGAGTAGCGGGAGGTGCCGACACCGAAGTGGCGCCTATTGCGCTGCCGACGATGATGGATCTACGAGCCCTAATTGAATGAGGAGAAAGCTTTGAAAATGAGAGATTAGTAGGAGCAAAGCTTGCGGCGACTGGCTTCGCTAAGGTTTTGGAAGAGGCGGAGATCGCGGTGGAGCATGAAGAAGTAACGGCCGCCATTTTTGCAAGTGAAGAGTTGAAGACAGGGTTATGTGTTACTTGTTGGTTTTATAGTATAGGCGTTAGAGTGAGTACGCTAACGTGCGCCACGTTGGTACTGCACCCCATGTGTCTCTAGTCTTTGAGTTTTGTTTGTCTGCTGCCACTTGTTTGTGTAATCATCATTTCTGTTTTTTTTATGAGGTTTTTATTGCATATCATAAAAGCTCGCGCCCCACGTGGTAATGTTGTGACAATTTGATTTGATACTAATAGTGACGAAGGGTTTGGTGTCGCTCACATACACATATACTAAAGGGTGGCAAAGGGACCCGCCCCGAGTCTGTCATGCAAATGTTTGTAAAAAAAAATAAGGTCAAATAAAATATATATAATTATGTTAATGTGTATATGCGTAAAAATCTGGAAAATAAAATAAAATAGGACTGGATAGATATATTAAAGGGTGAAGGAATAAAATCTAATTCCGTTTTGTATTAAAGTATGAGTAAAACAGGCATGAACAATGGGTTGAGTCTATTTTGTCACATTTAAATATAGTACTTCATTTTTACATAGAGATGAAAGATAGTTTTATGCTATTCTTTAATAAAAATTTATTAATATAATATATAAATGTGATTTGACGGGATGTATGTTTGTATATTATTTTTTTTTTCTTTTACAAATGTGTGTTGTTTGTCTCTCTCGTTACATTTATTTATTTATTTTATAAATCGAACATTCTCTACACCCAACTGTATAGACTAATCCTTTGAGTTAAGAAAGACCACAATAGATGGTAAAGTTCTCTACAAGAGATTTAACATTGATGTGCGCTCGATGATGGGTTCGAACATAAGGTCTCTAATTAAGTTAGAAGAGACTCTTATCATCTCAACCAAGTGCTCACATTTAATTATGTCAAAATATTTTAAAAATTAATAAATGATAAATTAAGGTAATTATTTATGAATTATTAATATTTTTTGTCAAGTAGCTTAAAGACAGAAAAAACTTGTACATCATTGCTTTAAGATGGATTGCAAAACAGAAAAAACTTCAAGGTTATGTGTTGTATGTTGTTCTTCTAACACCAACTTTGAACAAAATAGTTTTCTATTCTTGCAATCTTTCTCAAGTTATAGTGTTTTTGTTGTTGTTTTTGTTGTTGTTGTTATTGTTTTTATTGTTTCCACCTCTTGCAAAGTCATTGTTATATTTTGAAATAACCTTTGTAATACCATAAATTTTGCCCTAAGATTAGTCGATTCATCTCGCATTCTATTGCATTTTTGCGTTGCATGTAACCAGTCACTAACAAGTTTGTGCAGTTGATTGGTTTTTGCAGGAATGTCACATTTATGCACTCTTTGGCTTATGAAGGGCAGAATGGTCATTTGTTTGCATTCGACGGTCAATTTATGAATATGAGTTGCCGTCGGGGAATTTGAGTCGTTTGAGTCCGGTGATGAGAACCGAGCCTAAGGTTGTTAATTGGAAGAGTTTTATCGGAGGTTTTGCTTCGGATGGTTTAAGCGAGGATTTAATTTGATGTTCATTTGGATCGAAAGAGCGTGGTCGTTGGACAGATTGGTTTTATTCCGGTAAAGTCGCTCGTTTAAATTGCAGGAAGGTTTAATCAGAAGTTATGTCGGATGTAACACCCCGAATTTAATCGGAATATTTTAATTAAGTATTTAATTAAGAATGTTCAATTTCAGTGATTTTGAGTTGATTAATGAAGTATTGGAAATAATGTGCATTTTGGAGTGTTTATTTTGATTAATAGCATATAATATTAATTTATTAGTATTATTATTAATTAAAATGAAAATAAGGAGAATAAGGGTAAAATGGGCATTATGAAGAGTTAGTAAGGGTAATGAGGGAAAAGCCCAATGTGTAAGGCCTAAAGTTAGATTTGACAAAACTGAGTTCTGAAAGGAAAAAGAAATTTATTTTGTGTTAACCGTGGAATTGTGGCCAGAGCTCTGAAGAAAGGTCGGAAGCAGAAATCCCAAGTGATCGTGAAAAGCTGCAGATTCGACTAAGGTATGGGGAGTATTGCTTTTCATAGTTTTCTATGTATGACTTTCGGTGTGTTTATGGTTGATTTAATATTTAAGGTATTTTGGGTTGGTTGTGAGAAAATAGGGAAAATAATGCTTTGAGGTTATGGTTAATGGTATGTAACACTGAATATTGATATGAGAAAGGAAACCTTAGGCCTTTGTGGCCAAAACCTTAGATCGTTATATGTCTGCCCATATGGGATAGAATATTTGATATTTGAAATTACGATGCCTTCGGAGCAATTGTAAGGAAATTGACGGTAGACCCTAGAGGTTAGTGGTTAGTATTCTTGACCCTTTGAGTGTAGAGATGAGAAATAATGATTTTTGCCTTCGTGGCCAAAACCTTGGATTGTGATATGTTTGACCCTATAGGAATAAGAATATTCAAATGTGAGTAACTCTGAAGTACTCAGAGTAATTGCAGGAAATAGTGTTTTAGGCGTTGCAAATGTTGGCAGATGAGCCTAATAAACCATAGAAGTTGTGTTGTTATTGCCGTATAACCTTAGGAATATTTTAGTGATGTTTTGGGTACGTTGAGTGAGTGATTCGTAAGAATAATTGAGTAAAAACCAGTTCCGGAGCGTAGCAGCGTCTTTCTGTCCGTCACGACTGTTCATGTTTTCGGTCAAAATTGTTTTGGACGTAACTTTGGATCCGTAAGTCCGTTTTGACCCCGTTCGAAGCGTTGGAAAGCTAATGAACAGAGCTATAACATAGGATAGATAATGGAATTGTTTTCCCAATATTTTTATATCTAATTATGTTTGAGAAGTCAATTGTGTATATGTTTTAGTAACGAATCATGTTCTGGTTCAATGATGTCTTGATGTTTTGATTCTGTGATTTCTGTGATGGGTTGCTGTGATTATGACGGTGGGTTTTGCGTGAGATGTACATGATGTTAAGATGATTTCTATGATGTATTGATTGAATTAATATGATGAAATAATATGAGGAATGATGAACTATGTGATAGCATGATGAATGATGAATTATGTGATAATATGATGAATGATGATGCACCTTATGCTGTATTGTGAGGATTATTATTGTGACGTGTGCATCATACATTCATTTGCATCCGGACTTCGGTTCAGGACCTCGATTATTATGACTTCAATCCCACTGTGTGGATGTGAAGTGTTGTGACGTGCTCTGATCCTATTGATGGGGATCTATGGAGGGTTGATGGCCTAGTGTCCATCGAGCTGTGATGATTGGTACCACATGCATTGAGTAGTGTCGCATTGCATTTATGAGTCTTTTTGTATAAATTATGACGTTGTGGTCTTTGAGCATATTTAAGGAATATCAATGTGTTGAATATAAATATGACGCCGTTTATGCATTAATTGTTATACATTGATTATTATGAATTGTTTTACTCACCATGCCTGTTTGAATGTTACCTCCACGTGGGTAACGTGTAGATGATGCAGTTTAGCTGTGGACGCCGTTGAGGAGTACTTTTGAAGTTTTTGAGTATTTTAGTCTTTTGGTCAGCCTAGAGGGTCTTGCTCTGATATGTAACATCGGGTTGGGTTCCTTGAGTTAATTTTATACCGTTGAAGTCATTTTGATTTAATTTCCCTTTTTAAGAAATTTTGATTTATGTTTTGAGTTCCGCTCTTTATGATGTTTTGATGTACTTTGAGAAAACACGTATGTTACGGAGCAGTGACGTGTTTTGTTTACTTTGAGAAATGTTTGCCCTTTCGTGGCATTTTTAATGAGATTTATTTATTCACTCTGATTTTACGTGTTATTTTGCCTTATTATGTGTTGGGGGTAGAAAGGGTGTTACATCAGAGACGAAATTAGTCGGACAAATTGGATGAATCTGAAATTAATAAAAAATTAATAGAAAAATAGATTTGCATTGGTGGTTTTATCTCACTTTTAAATTAAAAATGGTAAAAACAATTTATTTCATGTTTATTTTCTATTTTTTATTTCCTATTGAACCATTTCTATTTCATTTCTTAGTTTTATTTTCATTTCACTTTAAAAACAATTCATTTTATTTTTTAAGATTTATTTTTATTTCATTTTTAAATAACTTTATTTCATTTTAAATATTATTTGCACTTCATTTTTAGATAATTTTATTTCATTTTTAAAACATTTGTTCTCATTTTCATTTTAAATTAACTTTATCCCATTTTTAACATTGCTTTCATTTTATATTTTTTTAACAAAAGCATACATTTTTCTTTATAATGGTCTTCATTTTTATTTTGCATATCAAAATAATAATAATAATATTATTTCATTACCCTAAATGGAATAATTTTATTATACAAAAAGAAAATAAATTACATTTTTCTAAAGATTCCTAAAATTCCTAAACTAATCTTCCTGTCCGATTTTTTCAATTTCGAGCTTCCGACTTTTCTTCGAACCTGCAAAAATAAGCAAAGCAAACGGTAATTTAATCGGTTAGAAGCGGGACTCCGACACCCTCAGAGCATATTCATCATTGGGTACGTCGGAAGGATAATGGATTGCTCCGAAATTAACTCCCGACTTTATTTCTCAACCTCGGTAAATCCATGCAACATCTGTTCTTATTTCGAGGCATCCGAGAGAAAGAGAGATAAAAAAGCGCTTCCAAAAACGTGATTATCAAAAAGTGCTTATTGAAAAAGCACGTATTCAAAAAAAGCTAGATTTGCCAAACAAGGCCCTAACCTCTTTCCAGAGTTTCCAAAAATCCAACGGATAAAACAAGCTAACAAATTGCAACAAACTCATAGCCAAATCAAAACAAACAGGTTCGAAGTTCCGTCAAAATGCATGCAACAAACCCAGCATGAAGGTCGTATGAATCTCCAGAAAAATCGCCAAAATGAGTCAACAATCATCACACAAATCATCAACAAAACTGAAAACGGATCCAGCCCACAAATCAACATATAAAAGCCATCAAGAGATTCCAGA